AGAAACTTTTGGCAAGGAGTGCTGGGGCTTGAGTTCTCCAGGCCAAAGGATGTCTAAAGGATGCAGATGACCAGGAAGAGGGATATGGACACAAAGGCCTCCCAGGCTTGGCACTGTTCCTCTAGGGAGAAGAGAAACCTGGGAAGAAAAGTTGGGAAAGAAGAAGCAGAGAGGCTTGGTAGCTGACTCCAATCTCAGAACTACTGCTGGGTTAAGAAGCAGAAAGGAGGAAGTACAGGGAATGTACCAGAAGGTGGAGCCTGGCTCTGGGCTGAAGGGAGGAGTCAGCTCTGGCCACTGAGATTTACAAGCTAAAGCTGCTGAGGCCCCGTTTGCAAGGCTGTGATTCATTGGTCACAGGGTCTTGCTGGGGATTCCTGCTACCTGGGAACCATGGAGATGGGGTGGTCGGACTCTGGACTCTGGGTATCCCTTTAGAGTCCTGCCTGTTCCTGGACTCTGGGCGGAGGCGGACACACCCACCCTGAAACTGCCTTTGGGGAAGTGCTGGCAGCTTCCCCTTCCTGGAGCCTGTGGGCTGGGGTGTCACTTGCAGTCCACTGAGGGGGACTCCGTTCCTCACCCTGCTCTGCCTGATGCAGGATAGGAACTCAGGACAAACCAGACCTGCTCTGTGGCCTGTGGCGAGCCCCACAACTATTCTGCCTGTCTAGGAGGCTGCAGCTGCCACTTTTCCATTCCAACTGGGGTGCTGCCTTCAGTCCCACTGGATGTCATTTCAGTGCCTTTTAGGGTCTAGTCCAGCTAGTGTTGGACCTGAGTGCACAGGAACAGGTCACACCTTCTCTGGGGACTTCATGGGACCCTGGCCAGGCAGTTACTCCTTGCCTCCAAAATGTCTCTTGAAAGGATACCTGGGTTCCCAAGTGTAAGGGACACAGGATACTTGTGATATCCCTCACTGGATGACCTTGGATGTGGCCTAGCCCTACTGGACCTCAGTTGTCTCATCTGCAAAGCAAAGGGCTTCCTCCCTGGTCCTGCCCTAAACCTGCCTTCCTAGTCCTGCCTCCTGCTCATTCTTCAGAGAATGTTGCTCTTCTCTCCATTCAACATCTTTTTTTTTTTTTTAAGATTTATTTACCGGGCCTCCCCGGTGGCGCAGCGGTTGAGCGCTGGGTTGCGAAGCTCCCCACGGCCTCTGCGGCGTCAGTTCGATCCCCGGCTGCTCCCCGGCCACAGGAGGAGGGTCCCACATTGCCCAGTGCTTGTATAAACAAACAAATAAATAAATACATGAAAATGGGCCTCCCCGGTGGCGCAGTGGTTGAGCGCTGGGTTGTGAAGCTGCCCGCAGCCTCGGCGGCGCCGGTTCGATCCCCGGCTGCTCCCCGGCCACCGGAGGAGGGTCCCACATGGCGCGCAGACCTCTCCTGCCGCCCGCTGCTCCCCTCAGCAGTGTACTTCGGTCCTTCTGCCTGCTGTGCTCCCCACTCTGGCTCTGGTGAATTCTCTCACCCTCCCGCGCTTCTGACTGTACCCAGTGCATGTATAAACAAAACAAACAAACAAATAAATAAATAAATAAAACATGCCTCTATAAAAAAAAAAAAATAAAAAAATAAAAAATAAAAAAATAAATACATGGAAAAAAAAGATTTATTTATTTATGCATACAAGAGCTGGGGTACAGGCCAGAGATGCGGGGGGTGAGAGGATTCACCGGAGACAGAGCAGGGAACAGAACAGGCAAATTGACCGAAATACACTGCTGAGGGGAGCAGCAGGCGAGACAGGAGAGGTCTGCTGTGCCATGTGGGTTGCTCCCTGGCCGGCCGGGTATCGAACTGGTGCTGCAGAGGCTGTGGATTGCTTCACAGTGCTGTGCTTAACCCCTTGTGCCACCAGGGAGGCCCCCCTTTTTTTTTAAATAAATTTTATTTTTATATTCCCCATACAATTGCAATCCCCTTATTTTGACCCCAATCTCTCCCCTCGCCGAGGTCCCCCTTTTTAAAAAAATTATTTATTCATGCATAAAAGAACCAGGGTACAGGCCAGATGTGCGGGAGGGTGAGAGGATTCACCAGAGACAGAGTGGGGAGCAGTACAGGCAGATTGACTGAAATAAACTGCTGAGAGGAGCAGCAGGCGAGGCAGGAGAGGTCTGCTATGCCATGTGGGTTTCTCCCTGGCTGGGGAACAAACTCATGCTGCAGTGGCTGCCAGTAACTTCATAGGTTGCATCTTAAACCCCTGCACCACCAGGTTCTGGCAAATATTTCTATAGTGGCAGCAGGATTCCTTGTTTACACCTCTCCTAGTTCCAGGATGTGGGGACCCTTGGAAGAGGTGGATAGAATCTATGCAATTCATACATTGAACTTGACAAATATTTACCTGCACTCTTGAGACTATACTACAAGGGTTCTGGAATCAAGACCCGGATGGGAACAACTACCACCAGCATAGTGAGGTCTGGCCAGGGAGAGGGAAATCCCAGGAAAGTGGGAGTGAGAGAGGCTTAGCTCACAACCAGAGAATGGAAGGGGAGGAAGAGCCAGGGAAGGGGTTGGGGGCAGGGATCAAGCAGGAAGATGGGGTGAGCAAGGCAAATCAGATGGCTGAGTGCTGGTATATTGCAAGTGGTGGGAGATGAGGTGGGCCCTTGGGTGGGGACAGGTCCTACAGGATCTTGCAGAAATTACTGTTAGAACTAACCCCATTGGTGACTTTCCACGTGTCATGCATGTCCTGAACATTTTTACCTAAATTTCCTCCCTAAGACTGACCTCAGTTGGTACAGTGGGTAGATGTTACTGTTAGGCCCATTTTACTGATAAGACAACTGAGACACAGGGAGTTTCTGATACTTGTCCAAAGTAATACACAGCAAACAGGTTTGCAGGCTGCTCCCCAGAGTCCTTGCCGTCAGCTGCCACTCTCATAACTCTTCTCTAATGCACAGTGCAAAGCAGCATGTGTGGGTTTTATGCTCAGGGCATTGGGGAGTCACAGAGGCTTTTGAGCAAGAGAGTGACATGATTTCTTTCTTTCATCAGGACCCCCTTGACTGCCATGTAGAGGGTGGATTGTAAGACAAACAGGAAGGCAAGGGAGGTTAGAGGGCCCTCGAGGGATGCCCTGGAATGTCTTGGGGAGGCTTTAAAGCAATGGTGGACCTGGACTGACCATCAGGGGGGAAGTTGGACTTGTAATCACCTTGTGGGGTTTGAAGCCCCTCGAGTGGGAGGTACGTGACTGGAGTAGCAAGTAGATGCCTAGTCATAGCCCTGGGGACCCCCATGGAGACCAAGAGGGGCAGCTGGGTGGAAGCACGGGTTGCTGGAAGAACCCATAACTGAAAGGGAGTGACTAACTGAGGGGAAGGTGCAAAAACAGCATGATCTGACCTGGAGGTGGGAGAGGTCATGCTTTCCAGTGGCCCCATCTTGCCCTGCTTCCAGGGATTGGGGTCTGTGTTGTCCCCACCTCTGGTGAGCCTGGCTTCCAAGGAGCTGACAGGTTCTTTCTGTTGCCCAGCAACTGCAAGAGCTGTTGGCTGTTGCTAGGAGCAGGCCGGGAGGCCGGAGGAGGGAGGATCAGCTCTCAAGGGGGTGGGGGTTTGGGGGCAGGGCTGACAGGGAAGAGGCCCGCTTTGGAGCTGGGTTTGTAGTCTGTGCATGGACTGGTTGTGTTCTTGGCTGTGTACACCCATTTTTATAGTATATTTTGTGAATTTGAGTCATGTCGGTGACTGGGCCTTTGTATGCATGTTTAGAGCCTATCTCTGAGTGTCTGTCCCTGGGTGGGCATTATGTGTTTTCACCATGTTTACTGCATGCTTGTGGCTGGGCCTGCCTGAGATCTAGGCAGGAGGGAGCCCTGAGGAAACCACTGGAGGATGTACAGGCCAGTGGCTCTTAATAAAGGAGACATTCATATAAGGAGACACAGGTCCTCCTAGAGAAGGCAGAGTATGGAGACAGGGAGCTGAAAGTAGAGAGAATGAAGACAGAGCACGAAGACGCCTGCCAGGGTAATAAGGAGGGAGTCTGTGCAGAACAGGGGACTGTGGTAGCCAAGCATTGGTGTCCAGCATTTCTGACTTTTTGGACTTTCCCTGTCTTTGGTTTGGGACTTCATGGGCTCATGGCACAGGGAACCTCACAGGACACCTTCTTGGGTAACCCTTGCAGGACACTTCAAATGCCCATCGAGGTCAGCCCAGGCTCCTTCTGGAGAACAGGATCAGAAAGAATAAAATGTTCTGCTGCCTCTGCCCAGCCAAAGGGTTACCCTAGCCCAGGATGGCTACCTGCAGGAGGACACCTCCTAGAAGATCAGAGGATGCACGAGCTTCGCATGACTAGAGAGTCATCCTGCGTGGGCAAAGGTGAAAGCAGTTAGTTACTGTTTTTGCTGCAACCCAGAGAAAATGGAACAAACCCGCCTTAGGACTGAGAAAGACGTAGTCCAGAGAGGATGGGGCTCTGTAGATCCTGAAACAAGTTTATTGGGTTCATTAACTTTAACAAGTGACGAAGACACGCCTCCTCCACCCTACCCGCCAAACTCGCAGAAGACCGGAGGGCTGGTTCTGTCTCCGCCATCGAGGTGCAGCGGAGCCCCACCCTCGGGCTGCGAGATCCGCCCGCCCCTGCCGCCGTCGGGCCGCGGAGCTCCGGGCGCTGGGCTCCCAATGAGAGCGCGGCCACGCCTGCAGCCCGCCCCGAGCCCGGGGGGCTCCCTCCAGGGCGGCCCGCCCTTTAGCTTGGGCGGAGCTGGGCTGCGCGAACTTCGCCTTCGCCCCACCCCAGCCCAGTCATTGGCCCTGGATCGCCCGAGGCCCCGCCCCGGGCCCGCCCGGCCCAGTCCCGGGCCCGGCTCGCTCCGGCCCCACCCCCGGCCCGCCCAGCCGTCGGTGCGCTGGAAGGCGCCGCCCGGCAGACGCTCAGAACTGCCGACCCGAGAGCTACCCGAGAGGGCCGGCGGCGGCGGGCGCGGAGAGGGTCGGGCGGGGCCGAGCCGGGCCGGGGGCCGTGCGGGGCCGGGCCGGCGGACGGCAGGATGGGCTGCACCGTGAGCGCCGAGGACAAGGCGGCGGCTGAGCGCTCCAAGATGATCGACAAGAATCTGCGGGAAGACGGGGAGAAGGCGGCGCGGGAGGTGAAGTTGCTGCTGTTGGGTGAGGCCGCACCCTACTTTGAGACCCCCACCCCCGCCCAAATCCCTGCACAAGGACTTTGACCTCCAGATAAGGGTTTCGAACTCCCAGACTCGGCTTGGAACCCCCCACCCCGAGCCCCCCCCATCCCGCCGCCCCGACCTCTGTCCTGGCCAGGACACCCAAATTATGATTGAAAACTCCGGGTTGGCCTACACCTCTGATCCATAGCCCAGACCCTAGAGCAGACCCCCAGCTCATCCCAGACCCCTGACTCCAGCCACCAGCGCCCTAACACCAACTGTCCAGAGCCCTGCTTGACCATCACCCCTGCTGACCAACCTTTCAGACCTGCTGAGATCCTGCCTTGTTACTCCATCCTGTCCTAGACTTTACCGCAACCCCCAGGACCCCACTTAGCTCCCCACCCCCACCCGCAGGCACCACCTGTTACCTCATACCTGCTTCCTCTATTCCTATTGGACATGAATATCCCCAGGGTCTCTTGGCCTGGCCCCCATGCACTCCCTCTTTCCCCTCTGTGCTGTTCTTACTCTGGATCTTCCGGGCTCCACCTGTGTACCCTGACCCCATGGCACCTTTTAGTGGGAAACCATGACTGCTCATAAGCCCTCTCTCCAGGAGAGAATCCCAAACCTTTGAGAGCCCTGCTCCTAGCTTTTGGCTCAGCAGGCCCCTTTGCAGGCATCACGCCACTAACCCTCTGCCCCACTAACCCTCTGCCCCCGCCCCCGCTTCAGTTGTCTTCCACACGCTAATTGTCCCCAGAATCCCCCACCCCTCCTCCTGCACCTGGACTGGGAAGGGGGCCCAGGGACTGGAAGGGCCCTGACAGGGTCAGGCAGACCCCTGAGAAGTTGGACTGAAGCTCCACTGGTCACACTTCCCAGGGAGGTTCTACTGGCTGTACAGTTCCCATTTGATTAGCCTGGTCTGGGCCAGTGTGAGGGGCATCTGGGCGGTAGGAGGGAGTATGGAGGAGTTGGGGTTGCAGCGCCTTCAAGGCCAGGGAAGATGGTGGCTGGTGGAGGGGTGGAGGGAAGTGGAAGTGGTAAGACAGCAGACATATTGCTGCCCGGCAGGCGGGCTGAGGAAATCTGTTCCCTGTACCCCTTCTGTACTGAAAGGCCTGGGTCATGGCCTCCGGGAGGTGGGCCTGTCCCTGTCAGATCTCGAGGTCCTGTGATGGGAAGTGGTGGACTGGCTGGATGAGGAGTTGTGGGGGGTGGGCAGCTGGGGGTGGGTGACAGAGGTGGACTCTTGTAAAGACTGTGGGCCCCCACTGCCTCCCACTTGGAAACAGGTGTGGTGCCCAGGGTCAGCCAGATTAGCGGGGGTTCAGAGTTGGGGGAGAGGGAAGCCCTCCCTGCAGCGTTAGAAGGTAGTGTTTGTGGGGGGGTGTGGCCCCTCAGCCAAGAGCTGCGGTGGGGTCCACAAGCTGTGAAAAGAGGGACTTTTCATGCTGGGCGTTTGGCTGAGGGACAGTGTGTCTTCCATCCTGGGCCCATCTGTTGACTGCCTCCGGGGGCCTGGCCTTGGGGGCTGTGCCCGGAGGTTTCAAAATGGCATCCGCTCTGCCGCTGCGGGAGGAAGAGAAGGGGCGGGAAGGGGCGGCGGCCCAGCCTCCTGGGCTGTTTTGCGTTGGGCGCTTGCCTCTTCCTGTCTCCGCTGGTGCCTGCGAGTGCGGCAGGGAGTGCGGCAGTGGCAGTGAGTGGGTGTTGATGCCCAGAATGCCCATCGCAGCTGCCCGCTGGGCCTAGGGAGGGTGCTTCCGATGCTGCTGCCTCAGGGTGCCCAACCAGAGGTCTCTAACCAACCCCTCCCCAGACCTGTCACAGTTACTGTGGTGGCAGTGGAGATGTGGACTGAGCCATGGCACCAAGGCACACAGGCTGGCCTGCATCTCAGCCTCATCTCACCAATCTTATTCCTTGGAGCTCAGCTCAGTTTTTGGCCCCACAGCCCTTCCTGCACTGGGCTGGCGGCAGCAAGGAGCACAGGGGCCCGCTCAGCATTTTCTTGTCCCGGGAGTCCATCTCAGCATCCTGGCCGTCTGCCCTTTGCTTCACACTCTGTGAATTATGTTTCCTGGGTTTGGGCCAGAGGAGCGCCCAGGTCCACGATGAGTCCACGATGAGACCAGGGGCCTCACCAAGGGCCTTCTTGTTGGGGGTGTGGGTTGGGGCTAAGCTCCTGCAGAGGGTATCCTGGGAGACCAAGCTCTGAAAACTGAGTACCCAGTCAGCCATGGCTGCCTGGGAGGGATCCTGGCTGGCTGTCCTTCCCCATCCAGGTAGAAAGAGGTGATGGGAGCCCAGCTTAGGCACTGCTGGGTGCCTGTCTCACATAGCGGGAAGGACTCTGTCCAGGCAACGGGACTCAGGCTGGGCAAGTGCCAGCCTTCCCTCCCAGCCAGAACCACGCCTGCTGCCCCGCCCGCATACTGGCTCCTTCCCTTCCCGTCCAGGGTAACCAACCCTGCCAGGGGGCGGGTGCAGTCACTGTCACCCGGACAGAGGCAGATGCTGGGAAGGTTTTTCCTGATAGCTTGATGGGGGGAGCAGAGGAGCTGATAGCAGCCCAACTCGGGGGATACCCCTGCCTCACCCCCAAGCAGTTCAACTTGAATGACCGATTACCAGCCGGTGGAAGCTGGGAACTTGGGCTCACAGAGGAAAGGAGGCCAGAGCGTGGGGAGTGTCTCCAGCTTGGGATGGGCTTGTGTAGGCAGCCTGCAGAGAAGGGAAAGACAGTGCCCATCCTGCCTCCATGGAGGTTTCAGAAGCAGCTTTTAGGAGGTATTTACAGCAGCTCTCTCTTTCCCTGGGGACTTTGCATCTGTTGTTCCCTTGGCTGGGCATGCTTTTCCCGTTTCCATCTAACTCACTCCCACTTGATGTTCTTCGAGACTCTGCTCAGGGATTATTACTACCAGGATTTTTCCTTCACCACCTCCCTCTCTGAGGCTGGTGAGCACCTCCTCTGGCTCCCAGTGCTGTTGGTCCCTCCATCACAGCTGGGATTTGCCTGGGTTGTAGCTGCCTTCCTTGGAGGCTACAGTGCAGGACTGTGTCCTGTTCATTTCTGAGTTTCCTTTTTTTAAATTTTTTTCTAAAGATTTATTTATTTTTGCATACAAGAATTGGGGTACAGGCCAGAGGTGCGGGGGTTGAGAGGATTCACCAGAGACAGAGTGGGGAACACAACAGGCAGACTGACTGAAACACACTGCTGAGGGGAGCAGTGGGCGAGTCAGGAGAGGCCTGCTCCCTGGCCAGCCAGGATCGAACTTGTGCTGCAGAGGCTGTGTTTAACCCCTTGCGCCACCAGGGAGACCCCATTTCTGAGTTTTCTGGTCAGCAAGGAGCATGGAGCCTGGCACCTGTTGGGTGCTCCTCATCTGTTGAATGAAAGGAGAATCCTCTGAACTTAATCTTGGGGACGGGTACATGGAAGAGTAAGATGGTGGCCACTCAACCACAGCCTGGTATATTGTGGGCAGGTGGCAAGGGCTCAGTGTGGGGAGACTGAGAGAAGTTCTTCAGGCTGTTTCTGCTCTCACCATAGGCTCTGCTGGCACCTCAGACAGCCCTTACCCGCCCTCTGTGAGGAACTGTTGCTGACTGGTCTGCAGCCTGTCTCAGGGCACAGCACACAGTAGGAACTACAGGTGTTCAAATGAGAGAGTGGCGTTGTATTTTTCTATCAGATCAGGCTGTTTCGGGACTACTCCAGGCCTGCTTTCTCTGCTGCTCCAGTGGAGGTGGCTGAGCTCTCTGGCTGGGGCTGCCCCACAGCCAGGGACCCAGACCGGAGCAGAGCTGCTGGAGTGCCTGGTCTGGCCAGTGCAGGGACTGCACATCCAGGGGCTCCGTAAAGTTTACCAAAGGAAAGGTTTTGTCCTATGTCTCTAGCACAGGGCCTGGCATACTATAGGTGCCTGTTAAATGTGTATGGACAGAGTGAAGCTGTGGATCACATCCATAAACAGGAATTAATAATTCTGGGACTGCTGCTTGGGCTCAGCTTTGTTCAGCTAGTCCTCGGGAAGAACTAACCTATGATCCTGGCCTACTGGGTAGTGGGTAGTCTAGGGGTGCCTGTGAATTTGAGGGTGGAGGGGCTTCCTGGAGAAGGGGTGAGTGGTCTTGAAAAATAAGGCAACATTTGCCAGGGCCAGGCATTGGGGACAGAGGAACCAACTCAGTAAGGGCACTCAGGTAGGAAGGTCTGGCCTAGGTTCCCAAGCCTTTGGGTGGGTGTTTCCTGGCCTGGGGTGGGAGGGCTCACCTAGTGTATTAGGTGAGCTCCGCCTAGTGTACTGGCTGAGAAACCCAGTGACAGATGAGGTCCTGGTTGGGGACAGGTGCCAGACCAGCCACAGGTGTTGTGGCTGTGTACAACAGAGCCAGAGCAGGTGAGGTACCCTCTGCTGACTCCTGCAGAGCTGAGACTTAGGTGGAAAGGGATCTCCCCAGCCTAGAGGCTGCCTGACCCCAGTATGGAGTCCCTGGGGAATCCCCTCCCTTGCCCTCAGTCAGCTGCTCACAGCAGGTGGGGAGACCAAGGTGCCAGCTGGAGTGACAGGCTTTCCTGGGGACCTTAGACCTAACCTCTGGGCATCGAGAAGCCTTCCTGGGGGGTCTAGGGTTGGGAGTGTGGCAGGGCCCCGGGCACATGGTGGCCTGGTACTTTAGGCCTGACTCCAGACTCCCCATTCTCCCCACTGCCTTCGCCCTCCACCCTCCGGCTGGAGCTCATTAGCACTTGAATGGGGGGCTGGGCAGTTGGGCCTCCAAGTCTCTTCTTCCCACCCCTCCCCCTGGCTGGGTGAGGCTTTGTCTTGGAGAGCTAGAGCCGCCCGCACTGGAGCTCCCACGCTAGTTAGTGACCTGGGGTCTAAGTTACTTCTGACCCTCTCTGCCTGCAATCCTGCCCAGCCCTTCTGGGCTCAGCCACCACCTGTGACCCCGGTGTTTATGCAGACAATTTGAGAAATT